CTACAATTTGATGCAAGAAGTGCACCAAACTTTTCAGGAAAACAAGAATAACCTGCTCAGAGGAACTAACCATGCCTCTTTCTCAATTAAGTTGTGTCATTGTTATTTAGAAGAGGTATATAACGGTTTCCAAGAACAAAGGGAACGCCTTTTTTTCTCCTTTAATACAGCTCCCAGGACAAATCAGTGTGTTGTAGGATGCATTTATGAAATGCAGGATCCTAGGATAAAAACCTGTCTGTAACTGGCAGAAATCGTCTGGATTTCAATGGGCTGGTTGTTGGCCAAGGGATTATTTCTTTGTTATAGGTTAAATAAACCCCTTTGATATAGACTCATATTTGATTCAGAACACAAATTATATGGATCCTAAGATGCTATCTTAAGGAATTACTACTGAGAGGAGAATCATTAAAAAAAAAGTATTTCTGCTCTTTCCCAAAATATGTAAAGAAATGAAAGACAACCAGAGAAATAATCCCTTAAAAAACGCCCAAAAGGTACAAATATTTCTAAGCATCTATTTCTTATAGTACTTGGATTAACCACACATTTAATCTACCTCTTTATGGACCTTCATATCCACACACAATGGTACCATGAGTGACAATTATCATAAACTACTTCAGAGTAGCATAAATGGAAATCACACGGCAGGTTCATTGCCAGTACAAACATCAAATGATAGTTAGATAAGTTTCTTTGTCACTCACTGTGCTTCATGTTTCATGAGGATTACTCAGACACCAGCATCTACTGAATAAATAGGCATAGGCATACAGGCACAGAGAGCCTGTCTGCACTACACAAAAGCACTACCTATCAGTAAAACTGACAACTAAGAAATGCCCAGGCATTTGCTGAAAGACTTTTCCATGCCTATATGTAGCTCTTAAGACATCATCTTCAGATAACATTTCTTACCACACTTCTATAGTATCTACCCTAATGGTTCTAGAACAGTATCTTCTGCCAATGGAAGCTGGCTTTTTTTTTTTCTTTTTTTTTTTTTTCTTTTTCTTTTTCTGCAGGTGTATGTAAAACAGCACGTTCTCACAGGACTTTAATGGCATTTTGCATACTCTTCTTTAATTCCAATGAAGTCAGTGCTAAAAATGCACACAACAGGTTATAATCGGATTCGTGACCTTACTTGAATGTTACTGGAAATCCCTTCCAAAAATAATGTCCAACACCAATTGTGTGCAGGTGTAAGGATGGCATGGAGAATTGGCTACTCAACCTGAAGCCTTATTGGGCATGCTTACCTTACTGTGCTGCCAATGTGGGGCTGGCCAGAAAACGCTAAGAAATAACAAGATTTTTATTTTAATGCCAATTTTGATATTGATAATACTTTTATGCCTCAAAAGATTTTCAACATTGGCTGAATAAGCTCAGGCATATGAGTGCATGATCATCAGACTTCCATGTGTAGTAATGAATGCAGGATTCAGGCAGTCTGAGGAACCAGTTCTCTAATAAAGTCTTTCAGACCTTTTTCTGGTTGAAAACAGCAATTTGATTTCTAGGTGTACAACGCTGAGAAATGTTCACACATCCAAGAGTGAAATGGTTATGGACAGTGGGAAACACCTTCTGTTGGGAAAACAGTGATGCCTGAGAGAAAAGGGTGAAGTTAAACTATCTGCTCTCACTATGAAACACGGGTGTCCTAGCAACTGGCATGCTCTGGGCATACAGTGACTGCTACAGCAGCTCTCAGCTTCTTGTTCAGCTCCTCACTTCCATAGCTTACAAATTCCTCCTGTATGGGAAGAGGGGTCTCCATTCTCACTCTGTTTACCCTACCAGAACAGCTGCTGCTTTATAACCAAAGAGCACACAGTTATCCTGCAAGTTTGTTCCAGCAATTATACAAGTGTCTTTCAGAGCCAGACTCTCATGGAAGCATTGCAGACCTGAAATCCCCTCTATCCCTGGAGCTGAGCTGCCATGGCAGCAGTTATCCTGCTGCTTGAATAACGACCAGCCCAGCAGATGCAAGGCAGTGGGAGCTGTGAGCTGTCTCCTTCCCAAGGGGAAGAAAATTACTTCCAATACCTTCCAAGATAAATGTGTTGATAGGGGCAAGCAGACAAAGACAGTGTCCTCCAGGAAAGAAATAGGTCAGTTATTTTAACAGTGCATGAATGCCATTATAGAACAGCAGCCTTAGCCACACACAGTTATACCTCCAGTCTGTAATCATGCCATCTTTGGAATTATATGCTCGCAGTGCATAGGGCTTTCAAACCTTACTCCTTACTCCCTGCCTGCCCTCAGTGGGGCAGCACTCCGCTGTTGCTGCCTGAGCTTTGCAGAGCACATCAGTGTGCTCTTACAGCTCCCAGTAGGGGTTTTTCCTTTTCATTCCATGGATTACACTGCAATGCCCATGTATGCGCAGAAGAAAAAAACAAACAAACAAAAAAGCACAACAGAGTAATACACTGAACATAGATCAGACTCTTGGTCTTTCTTTGTTTCTTGCTTTAAAATGTAAACCACTGAATCTGAGTATTCTGTATATTGTAAGTGGCCATGTACACTGCACAGACCCATCTCAATCCTGCACACCCTCTCGTAGGTCATACTGCCTTACTCTGCTCACCTGGTAAAGAATCACTTGCGTCACACAAAAGGCTGCCTTGAGCACTGTCATCAGAAACAGAAAGCATTTTGTGGTTCTCCTGGGGCAGGCTGTACGGCAGAGTCAGCTTTGCTTCTTGGGACACTGGCTCCATTTGAGCTCAGAATTTGGGTCACAGATTTGCTTTTGCAGAACTGCTGCTCTTTTCAGCAGAGGACACTGTAAGTATGTCTGCACCAATCTTCCCCTTGCGTACACACATACACAGAAACAAATGTTAAGAGGTCCGTAGCACTGCAGTTAATATAGGTGAGGATTCTGGAGCAACAAAGGATTTTAAATATAGTTCTTTGCTCCCAATGAGAGAAAAGCTTGCACCAAAGTGCACTAAGAAGCAAGAGATGTTGCAAGTGTATGCTAAAGATCCAATGCTGCTTCTGAATGCAATTCTTTAACTAGGACTTAATATCTTACAATAAGACATGAGGAACAGACATTGTAATTCCTAGTTTTCTTGCTTTTGCTCAATAGTATTTCACTTTTTTTTTTTCATAATATCTCACAATGTTAATATTTCAATAGTTTTTAATGTGTATTTCTTACTGTTTTCTCTACCATTGTGTTCTCTCAAGTCCTTACTCTTGGGCTTACTCAAGCCAGCTACTGTTATATACAAACACATGTAATAGGAATACAGTAACAACAAGGGGATGAGTGAAAAGCAAACAGCAAGGAAAACAGGCAGGAAAGCATGATGACAGCATCAGAAAAACGGACGAGACAAAATGTGCTGAGCCTTCTGTTACACAGCTGCGAGCATTACAATGTCATTGTGAGCACAATACGAATACAGAACAATGCTGAAAGAGGTCACAGATATATACTGAAATTTCATGAACTCTAACTGCAAAGGAAGCCTTGAAGAAGCAAACACTGATTATCTGAAATAATTTCTTAACACCTGTTCCAGTTCTCCCATTTTTTGATCATCCAGGAAACATGAACACTGCATAGCTTTCTCTCCCCCTGTTGTTATTATGATTATATATTTTGTTCTAGCTTTGGACATTCTCCTCTCCTCTCAGGATTTCAGTAAAAGAATGTTGCATTTTCACTCCTTCCCAGGCTTCTTTGGACATTCACACTTTCAGCAATAATGAAGAATTTTCATGTAGGTTTCCTGCAGTTCCACTACATTTAAACTATTTTTTCATACCTAGTATAAGGATTTTATGAGCAAAATGAACTGCCTCAGCTCTGTACAGCAGCTGAGTATTTCTTCCAACAATGACTATCTGTATCTGTGAAGGTCTTTACACTTCAAGTAATGGAAAAAGATAGCTTGTAAAGCATATATCCACCTCAGCAAGTAGGCTGCCATTTTATAACTATATTTTCTGTATGAAATACTACGCATAAGCAAATTAGCCTTTTACTTCTGGCATCAAAGGCAAACTCATCATGGTAACAGCATCTGAAAGCCATTGGTACTGTTGGTAGTATTGCTGCATTAGAAAAAAATGCTGTGTTCACATATCAGTTGTATCATCTCTTTGCATGCTGCATTGGTATCAGAGAAAACAGCAAATCCCCAGACAGAAATCCCCGGACAGGCCTTGCCTGTGAATAGAGTGAAAATCTGCATCAGTCACATACTGGCCAGCAAACACAGTCCCTTCAGCGCTAGCACTGGGGTTTCAGCAGTCTGAAGAGCTTTGCAAGATGTAATAAATCATCACTGACATCCTGCTGATGGCCGTTGTAGTCCCGTGATGCAGAGGATCAAACCACTGGTAACTCCCTGGCTCTGCTGAAATCACAACATGTTAGTCCACTTCAATGAAGAGACATGCAAGATCTTCCCTTCCTGCAACTCATGCACTCAGCAAACGCTTTCCACTCAGCAGCATCAGGAGATCAACAGATAAATCCCATACCATGATGTGTGGGAGGTGGTGCCTCCCCAAAGTCAGAATTAGCATTCCCCTTTAGAAGATTATAGCTTAAAGAAATGAGCACTCCGTATATCTGTGTGTTCTATGACAGAGAGAAAGAAGTCTGTGGACGTGTACCATAGGCATTAGAGAAAGAGTAGCTTTCACCCTCTCAGTGCGTGTGCAGCATCCCCAGTGCTGAGTGGCGAGGTCGCTCTGCAGCCAGCGAAGAACACCTCGGCACAGCTCCATGTGCGAGCGCACTGCTTTGCAGCAATCAGTCTTTACTCCAAGTTCCTCTCTTTCTATCATTTTCTTTCTTTCTCTCTTTTAAAACTGAAGGGTAGGAGGCTTACAGTTTTTTTCCATCACGGCTTTTTTTTTTTTTTTTTTGTTTTTTTTTTTTTTTTTTTCCATTTCATTTTGATATACATATACTGAATAAATAAACATCTATAACTTTGTTTCTCAAGAATCAGCACTTTCCACTAGATGGAGACAGGACACTGGATCACTTTGTCCTCCAGGAGGACGCTGACAATCAGGAACACGAAATAAAGCCCAAACATGAGAAAGCCCAGGAACTTGTTCATCCTCCACTTGCAGAAAGCGATGGAGAGGATGACAAAGAGCAGCATGATGAAGAGGAGGACGATCGCACAGAACAGACCATTGCTGCTGACAGTCACCGGAGAAAAGTTGTTAATCACAGCATACAGGAGCCATGGGAGAGGAAGGCTGTAAAAAGAAAAAAAAATAATAATATGAAAAAAATAGAGAAATTGGAAAAACAGCAGAGATCTAGAAAAGGGAAAGTTTCTGGAGGTACTTCAAAATTCAACCAGAAGCTTCATAAAATGAGGCATGAATTTTTCTAATGTGTGTATATATCTGATTTAACAACATGCTTGTGGTAGCACGGGATTCAGGCTCTCCACTCTCCTTCCACCATGACATTGGTGGATGGTATTTCCCCTAGCTGACAGAAATCATTGAACATGTGCCTGTGAGCAGGGAGACTCTTTTGTTTGCTTAGGACTTTGCACCATCTGCACAAGAACGTACTTCCAGTGCCTTTTCAAGAGCCCACCAGCAAAAGGGTGACTCACCTGATGTGTCCTTCCCATAAAGAACCAGCACTCCACAAAGCACTACCCAAAAAATTCATCCCTTCAAAGTCATGAAGTCATTTACTATAAAACCTGCACAAAAATGTGAACTTCTACTGAACCTTAGCTTAATTTCTATTTCTGTGTTTACTGTCATTACATTTCTCATCTTTGATGCCACAGAATGAGGCAACATCCCTCAGGAAGATGTCAAGCTGAAATAAATATTTAAGCCCCCGATCAGAGCTTAGCAGGCTTAGGATGCATGAAGAGAGCTGTCAGAAGCTCACAACATTCAAGCTTTGAATAAGCAGCTCAAGAGATAATAATTCTCTACAGACTCAATGCTAACTAAACCAAACTGCAGCTACACTGTGCCATTTTATTTGTTCAGGGGCTAAGTCTACCAGACTGTGCTAGCGGACAACAACATTTCTGCTGCTAGGGAGACTAAAATATATATCACAGAAATAAAGCACTGCCAAAGAGAAAAGTTCTGCCATGCACCCTACGCGCTCTAGATTGAAAGACTCCATAATGCATAAGGTTTTCAAAAGTCTTGCAGGTCTGTTGCTAAAATATTCAAACCCTTCCTAAAAATTTCAAACCCCTCCTGCTTCTGGATTAAGAGAAAAAAAAGATGGCCCATTTTTTATGCAGCATCCAAAGGTACTGCATTAGCTAAGAAATAGAGTAAAAAAGCTGTTTCCTTAAACTTTGGGATCTCATTTAGTACCAGCGCAGCTGCTGGTACATTTTTAGCAGCTCACACTTGTACTGTTCTTCTGACTGGACTCTAACTACAAAGAGGCCTGCTCTTGTGCAAAAAACAGCCATAGGTAGAAAAACAGAGCATGGACATGATTCTCAATGCCTCTACCTATGCTGAAGATGGGAAGGAATAAAGACAGTTCTGTTTTTACATCTCATGCACAATTTTGAAATACCGAGGCACAAATTATAACATGGGATGGACCAGGACTAGCTTGATTTCAGTGGATCAAACAGGACCTTGAATCCCAACTGCATGCCTTACATCCCTTCCCTAGGGCTGCTGTGAAACAGTAAACAGAGCATTTCCACAGAATTCTACATTGCTTCACATTGTTAGACCTATACAAAAACACCTGTGCATTAAAGAGAAATTTTGCAATTGCTTTTAACTTGGAATTTGTCAGATATATTAAAAAATCACAAAAATAAAATAACAATAAAAAATAAAGAACAACAGCTCATGAAAGCTACACAAGACACTGATGTCTACTTGTTTTTAACAACGCACTGAATACTGTAAAGGCAATGAATTATTTGTTGATCAGTGGTTATAAAGAAAGCCCTAGTAAAGTTCAATGCATAATAGCTCAAAAGAATGACCTGACAAAAGCATAAACATATTCAAAAATTTCTTCTTGGAACAAAGCCTTTGAATTACTTCAAGTGCACTTTACCTGCCTAGGAGGTTCTGCAATGAGTAAAAGAGTAAATCAGGCAACAAGTCTGTAGCAAGCCCATCATTCAAATGTCTATAGACTTCTGAACGCATAAAATTGTAACATCCATTGCTTATTTTCATCACTTTCTTTTTCAAACTTTTTCATATCAAAAGCAGAAAACTGTTGTTGGCAACGCCTTCACAAATCTAAGGCAACAATGCTAAGAACAAAAAAGTTTTTAAAACACAGCTTTCATGCTATAGGACTTACCCCACTGTGATGTCAAATATGTTGCTTCCAACAGAACTGGATACAGCCATGTCCCCCAGACCTTTGCGTGCTACAATAACACTGGTAATAAGGTCAGGAATGGATGTGCCAGCAGCTAAAATAGTCAAGCCCATGATTTCTTCACTAATACCAATGGTTTCTCCAACCTAAAAAGGTTTGAGCAAAAACAGAAAAAAAAACCACACATGAGTTGCAGTCCTGTGGTGGAGACATGTTTTCTGCTATAAAGCTGCTTAATAAGGAATATTATCCTGGAGTTTCCTGTTTGTCTTGGAGAATACAATCAGGATTGGAGAATTACTGTTTTCACAGAAAATCAGTAGGCATTGACAAGTAGCTGCTGATGTTACCAGAGTGATCAAATCCTGTGGTCAGGACAATCACAGCTCTCTCAACTATTTTCCATTTACTGAGTACTGTTTTACTTCATCCACTGTTGCAGCTCCTGAAACAGAGGATTTCTCAGCATGAGAGACACAATGGACCCTGATTCTGAATGGTTTCTCAGAGCGCAGAACACAATACAGAACCTGTATTTTGCACAAGCATCACCCTCTTACCTGATGTGCCCACCAGACCATCAAGTAAGAAAAAAATGCAATCCAACTGATTGAACCAAAAAACGTGATAGGAAAAAATTTTCTTGACTTCTGCAAAAGAAACAAAGACAAACAGTGAACACCTATGTTGAAGGCTGTTTTGCGGAATTCTTATTTATTCTCTAAGTGACCTCTTACTTCTTCTGATCACCTGTTCTATCTTTTCTGATCAGCATCATATCATCAAGATGAAAGTTAAGAGTGTTAAGAAACGATTTTCCTCACTGCTGTGTGTTTACCCATGCCTCATTCTTGTACTGGCTTCTGCTATAAAGTAGTCTATGACAAGATTCATCTCTGAACAACAGCTTTCATAACAAATGGCAGGTTTTCTGTTGTCTATTTCTATCATGTGCTGTTACACTACAACTTGCCAGTGTTGAGCTGAATGGAGATTTAGAATCTAAATTTATTAGTAACTTCACGCCTATTGGGAAAGAATGTTTTCAAGCATACAAGTATGCATACATTTCATTCACATATTAACAGCTTTCTGCAACATCACTTGCAGTCGCTGTAACAGATGTTGTCATATGGTAGTTAGAAAAATACGTATCCAAAATTTATTGGGATATTAACACTTCTTGGAAAAACAGCCCATTTTTTCAATTAGAACAGAAAATACATTAAGAATACATTTGCAGCGCTTAGCTTTGTGGAGAAGTTTGTTGTAAAACATTGTAAAACGCTCCCCCTGAGGTCCCTCATTGAATTCCAAGATCTGTATCACACCAGAGAAACCTTATTTTCATTTTCTGTGTTTCCTTTGCTTATATCAAGCTTTGAATAAATAGTATAATTGCAGCCAACTAATAGGCTATATTCAGATTAATGATTTATTTTGGTTTTTGTTCTTTCCAGTCTTTTGCATCATTCATTTCCCACTGGCTTGCTAGATTTATGTAATGAAAAGTGATAACTACTATAAGAAGTAAACGTGACTGTAGTTAAGCATATCATTGTATAAATCAAATTACTGTTTAAAATGAAATCTACACCGTGAATAAATGCTACCAATCTTGAAAGAAACCAACTCTTTATGGACATTCACCAGCTGAAGAAAGATCTTTACTGCAGAAGACCTCTGACGTGCTGTTAGCAGAGTGCTACAGATTTACCTCAATAACTAGGGACTGCCAGACAAGGCCAATTATACCAACCTGACCACCTGTATGAGCTGCTTTTAGACCTATGCAACCTCCTCCCATTTTGCTCTCATTCCACTTCCTGCTGTGCATATGGGCCTTTATGGAAGTGCACCTTGACTGCAGCTCTCTGCACTGCGAGATGTTCCCCTGCAGCACCACCAGGCCCTGATGTGCCCTATGGGCTCTTCCTGGCTGTTCTGGGAACAGACAGGACTGAAAAATTTTCCATCAACACAACTTCTGCAGGGAAAATGTGCTGTGAATCTCTGGCAGTTCAACTCTCTCAAACTGTGACAAAGCAAGGGATGCAATACACACCCACTGACAAAGGACAAGTAAGACATCTACATCAGCTTTACAGCAGGTGCTCTTATGGGCTGTACTGTAGAGAACACTTCCTCACTCTCTGTAGTACTTCTCATAAAGCTAAATGTCCTCCTTAAAAGTGGGCTGCAAACACTGATTGGCACATCCAAAACAATCCTGTAATTGAATGTTCACAGCAACATTAATGATGAAAATTTAACAATGCTTCCCAGAAACATGCAGAAATAGATAAACAAGAAACTGAACTTCAGCTAGAGTAAGAAAATCATTCCAGCAAACTGTTTAAATTAACTGTTTAAATAAGGGATAAATAACCACAACAGCACCTGAAAACTTATTTTTAATACATATTTCCCTATTGTCACAAGCACCTTTTCTAATCCAAATAGCTTTGGTTGACCTGCTTCTTAACTCTTTATGGAGCAAACAGAATGACTTTTTTGAAACAGAATTCTGAACTTCTATTAATTTAGAAAATCTGGAAATGAACTAAATTCCAATGTTTAAACTGACTCAGAAATCATATGCCCTTTTGATTCTAAAAATCAAATTTTTAAATGCACTGGGAGACCAAGAACCTAAGGTCTGAGATTTATATTTAAAGGAAAAAGAGAATGGCCAAAAAGCAGCAATCTGACACCAGAAAAAGAAGAATCAAGTCCAGAAGGGATAAATAAATCTAAACAGCATTTTCATTTTTTAAATTTAAAGGCTAGTAGATCTTTTTTCAGCACTGCTAGCAGTCAAGTCTTTCAACTTGCAACATTTTTTTATCTTCCATGTAAAAATGGGAATTTTTTTGCAGTATATGTGGTGAATGAGTAGGCAACCTTCTTGCAGCTGGTCACAAAATCTAAACAAGAGAACATCATAGCAGGGGAAATTCAGTGATCAATATACAGCACTCCAGAAATAAGCACACACACTGGCTTATGCAAATCCAATACAGCAATAGCTGTACTGGCCAGTAATAGCTACTGGCCTAATGAGAGTATGGGATTATATATACCAAGCTCTTGCAAAATAACTGGGCATGGCAAGAATCACGTCTGCATAACGTGGAAAACTGGTTGCCTAAAGATTATCAGCCACTAACTTTGCAGCCTGTGTATTCCCAGTCTCAATCTTCCCCCAGTAAAATTAACTGATGGGCAGATGTTCAAGATTATGAGCATTTTGATAGACTTAGCAGTTTCATTACCTACTTTAAAAAGATGGATGTTTGAAATCAAAAGGGACAAAATTTGAAACCTGTGCATCCTTTAAGTAATGAAAACAAGGATGGATGCCATAAATGCTACTACATGATTTGCATACAGAGGAAGTTTTTAAAAAGAAGAAATAAGAATGCAACCTTCCTTTTTTTTTTTTTTAATGATAGATTTTTCTTCCAGAGTAAAGTAACAACCAAGCTTGTTTTGTAACTACTGACAGTGTTCTTTTGAGATATATCTCTTTGTAGCTCCCTACCTCTTTACAATATACAGGGCTGCTAATTCCAAGTATTTTCCTAAAAGAATTAGTCAGAGAAAACAGAGAGGAACACTTTTTTCTGGTAGCATTGTGATGGTTGCCTTAGAAAGAGAGAGAATCCTGTTTATTACCAATTGGTTTTGTTGTGGTCATGGTAACAGACAAAGGAGAAGAGCCATGGTTGATTCAGTTTATATGGTATTTTCTTTTAACAAAAGAGAAAGAACTTCATAGCTTTGCTGTAAATTGGTTGGTTTGGTACTTTTCCTGTCTATTAGTAACCTAAAGGACATTTTTCTTGTTATACTTCTGTATTGAATTCATGTTAGTCTCTGAAAAACAGGTTCTGAAAACAAGTGGAATGATGAAAGAATGATAAAAAGTGAAGATTTTTCATCTAAGAGTTTGATCCTAAAAGACAGTGAGTCCTTAGTAATTTGCAAAGTATCTGTCTTCATTTTAGACTACATTATTACTGATATCTTTACTTTAACCTGAATGAACTATGTGTTTACCTCACGCATAAATTTATCCCTATTCAAGCTTTGATTTTCCTTCCATACTTGACAGTGCTTAAATCTGATTACTCAGAACCTGTTCCTGTAACTGGATCTGTAAAGGAACATCTTGTCCTTGTCCCCTTGGTAACAGTACATCTCTGTGTGGCAACGAGAGTCCATGTAAATTCTTGGCTGGTGATGGGAATTTGCAGAGATGAACCATATGGGTCAAGTGACAAGAGAACTGGACTACTGATAGCCTGTAACAGAATCATAGAATCACAGAATGGCTTGGGTTGGAAGGGACCTCAAGGATCCCACAGGCAGGGCCTTTCTAACCTCCAGATCTGACACTAGATAAGGTTGCTCAGGGTTCCATCCAACCTGGCCTTGAGCATCTCCAGGGACGGAGCACCCACTCACAGAATCACAGAATCACAGAATGGCCAGGGTTGGAAGGGACCTTGAGGATCATGAATCTCCAACCCCTCTGCCACATGGGGGGCAGACTGCTGGGCAGACTGTTCCAGCACCTCACCACTCACTCTGTAAAGAACTTTCCTCCTGGCAGTCCCCCTGAAAGTTGATTTCCCTCCCATTTATAATCCTCTTTTAAATACTGAAAGGCTGCAATAAGGTTTCCTCACATCCTTCTCCAGGCTGAACAAGCCAAACTCCCTCATCTTGTTTTCATAAAGGAAGTGCTTCCAGACCTCTGATCATCTTCTTGGCTCTCCTCTGGACCCTCTCCAACATCTCCACATCTTTCTTGTATTGGGAGCCCCAGATCTGTACACAGATCTGTGGGTCCAGATGGGGCCTCACGAGGGCAGAGCAGAGAGGGACAATCACCTCCCTGCCCCTGCTGGACACCCCACTTCTGGTACAGCCCAGGATACCATTGGTTTTCTGAACTGCAAGAGCACACTGCTGGCTCATGAAGGGGTAACTAGCTCAGTATGAATATAACAAATGAGATGCTGTTCAATATCCACCACTGGACCAGTGGGTCACCTTGGTCACGTCATCATCCTTTCAATGTTTTGATAGCCCTAACTGTACAGGCACTACACATACATTTAAGCAGGTCAGTTGAGGAGTTAGTTGAACTATTACATAATCCACTCTAGGTATATATATAAATCTGCACATCTGCATGACAGAGCATAACAGGGCAGTGAGGATTTTGCAGACTTCATAACAGGAGTTCTTGGTAAATGAAACAATTTTTCTACAGATTCTGCATCTTAAGGAGAAAAGTACAGCTTGATCTAATACTAGTAAATGCAATCAACCCTTCTTCACCAAGTGGAGATAAAATATATTTTAACAAAGAAACTCTACGAGGAAAGAACTCATTTTTGAAAAGTGGACACCCACAGAGGATGTGCAAGGCTCCATATGGTCTCTCAAAGCAGTGTTTAGCAGACTAGTGCTCATTTTGTACAACCACATGCTAATTTGAGCATTCTGATGTAGAATTTGGATTTCTGACTAAAATAACCACACTTGCAAATTGAGCCCATGACAGTAGACCTACCTACAAAATCTATTTAAATATTGTTTTAGTGTTTTAACTTTGCCCCACAGGTTTCATGAAAACTTGTTTTCTGATGCACATGCTGAGCTGTGAAATTGTGTTTCCTTTTTGTTAGGAAGGGAGGAGAGGGGATGGCACACAGGCATCTGTGAGAATATTTTAGAGACAAACACTCTAATGAAGCATCCTTGTAAAGTTAGACAGCTGGGCACAGAGAGTTTATGCAACCATCTGGTTAATTCTTTGACAGTAATGTTCAAAGAATGCAGCTTTTTACTGAAGTAGCCTGCTACCTCTTTTGCTATTACAACATGTAATTACAATCCACATTTGTCTTGCTTCTGTATAAAAGCCTGCACTTTTCATTGAATTAATTTTTAAAATGTTGTTGCTCATTGACATAGCTGGCATATAAACTGTACTTAATTTTTATGTTACAGGAGGTTATTTTAGTTGCGGAATGTCTGCTCTGCTGTGAGCAGTACAAGTGTGAATACTCACACATTACACACAAGTTGCACAAAAGTTCATAAGATATTTGCTTTCCAAAACTATTGTTGTAACAACTATCCTGATTCAGTACTGTATAGAATAATAAATATGTCCACGTGTTCAAAGGGAAGAAACAAAATTCAAATAAAAGGTGGACATAAGGAAAGAAAGAAACAATCTAGAAATTCATGTAGTATGTTTTTCTGTGTTACCAAACAAAAATACTTTGCCAGAGTTATTTGAAAACTTGAAGAAAATAAAGCTTGAAGGCTGGAAGGGAAAATGTCGCTTTGTATCCTTTGAGAAACCTTTATCTAAAAACAAATCAGACGTCCTCTTTTAGCTTTTTTTCTTGTACTGAATTGAAGTATTCGAGTGTGTGGGATGGGAAATATGATAAGGAAGAAAAAAGAATTCAGGGTGTTGATTTATAACCTTTTATGCTGTGTATCGTTCTCTTGCAGCGCTTTAAAATCTATTTTTGATCCAGAAAGGAAGGGAGATTAAATCACTACAAAAAGACTTTTCCATCTATTTTTTTTCCTTTTCTTCTACTTTCTATGAGTCTTGGTATTATATGGATAGGAGAATGTAGGAGTGGTAAGACTTGTCAACTCGTATTTTTAAGTCTATTTCTATTAGGAAGCAGTCTCACATGACTTTAAGTCATGTTGGGGATAAAACTAATAAGTGTTTTAAACATGGAAAGACTTTGGATCTTGTTCTAGATCGAAAATTAAAAGATGAGTAGAACACAAAGGTCTAGCATACATTTAGGAGAAATGCATATTTTGATATGAGAATTAGAGAACTAAAATCTTTCCGGTATCACTCTTTAGGACACTGAAGATAGACAGAATTCCTCAGTACTGATGTAATCTTCAGCAGAGATCTAGAAATGCATATGTGAAGGCCCTGAAGAAATTTTCAGAGCTTTCATTCTTTTTCATAAAATATCAATGATAAGAATAGCAATTTTTATGGAGCTATTACCAACCAGTTGCCCATAAGCACTGATATGTAGATCTGAAGATTAATGATGTTGCCTCCTCAAAGAAATGTATAATAAACCATCATTTTTATTAAAAACAAACAAACAAACAAACAAGTCCTCACTTTCTTTCTGGAGTCCAGTTTCTTTCTGGAGACATTCACGCATTCAGCTTGAGAACCCCCAACTATGCAGTACGCCCCAACTTGTAACAGCAGGTACTCACAGGATTTCTGACATCCGGGAGGGAAACCCACAGAGGGAAAACAATAGGCAGTACAAGAAGGTAGGTGAGCTGCTTGCGTGGGGTGTCAGGCCAGGCCAGGCTGAGTGGCTGGTCCTCGTCCTCTTCATTCTGTACAAAAAAATGCAGGGCGCAGAATATGTAAATAGCTAAATGAGGCTAAGGACTGCTTAAAGAGAGTCCATAGGATTGCACAGTATTTCAGTAAGAACCCATGGGAGCTGAAAACATCAAATCAGCACTACTCTTAACAACATCAGGTAGGACATAGTAGTTTTGGCCAGACTATATGGTACCCTCCAGAATAGGCTGCCCAAGGATGTCAAATTGTGGCTCAGCTGAAAGTGATGCTGGTCCCTTGGGATCCATGCAGTACTGTTGCACCTTCTCCCTGAAAGGGAATTTTACTCTTCCTGTGTCTTTGAAACACCTCTGTGATCCCACAGGATTCCCCTGGGATGTGGGTTTGTCTAAGCAAGGATTGAAACTGGTCTGCACAGTCCCAAGCCTGGCCACATAGATTGATATATACTTTAATATACGTGTTGTGGTATACAATCACAGATATGCAAATAAATGCAAAGATATATGCATTATAAGCATGCAAATTAACTATATATATGTGCATATATATATATGCATATATATTGCTTTTTAAGCTCCTATGTGCTCTTTCCCTAGTGTGCCTCTGCCAACAAAATAGAGTCCTTTAGACTGCCACAGAAAGAAAGCAAAGAAAGAATGATTGAGCCTTTTGGGTTTATGAAAAAAAATAATCCTTCAGCTTTCATCACAGGTAGACAAAATCTCCAGAATTGCACATAGATCTGTATTATTCCACAGAAACAAGGCAGGAGGAAAAAAAATGGCCTAAACGGTTCTTTCAGACAGGTGCGCAGGTCCTGCTTAGACTGTGGAAACACTTTCTGAGAGTGTTCCATGACAACTAAAGAAGTCCGAAAAAGAGTAGCTTGAGGAATGAGCAAGAAGTTAAGAGATGTGCACACCTACAAGACTATAATCTCACTGGAGTCACAGAGCCATAATGGCTGGCTTCCATGGCTGGAGTGTTGTAAATTATTCAACAACTAACTGCTGAATACTTTTCAGCCCCTCAGTCGTTTTTTCATAGAGCAGTATGACTCTGTGACAGACCTGACACTGACAGACTGAGGTAAGCTATTTTTCTCTTGACACATCTGCAGCTACTTTGTAGATTATGTACTGATATCAACAGAAGACTGTTTTGTTAACACCTACATTTTGTGAAACTTGATTTATGTGATTGTAAGACAACAGTAAAGTGACTAGGTCATAATTGCTATTGTCATCAAAAGATTACAAAAAAACATGCAGACAAAATGTATGACGGTCCACATGGCACTAAAATGGCTCCTGAGCAGCTTAAGAGGCTAGCCTTTGCCTCCAGCTTTTAGCTTTTTACCAAAGCCAGCAGATGACTTCTACCTCACAGCCATAACTTACTGAATTCCGACCTCTGGAGGACTGTGTTAGTGCAAGAGTTTATGGGTTTACTACTCCATAAATTAAGCCATTCTTTTTCCATCCTGGTACATGCTGCTGAGATGGGAAAATCAAACTGAGCTAGATGCTCAGCATTAAATTTGATGACTGAAGTAAAATTTCGGCTTAAAAGGACCAACAAAGTGTTGCCTAGGTAACCTTTTCTGAGTGGCATGTATATAATGCAGTGAGCCGACTCAGCAGGAATAAAGCTCCATAACCAATTGCTTTATAAAAGAGTACTGAATGACAAAATACTTTCTGAATCGTTGTATTTATAAATTAGCCGTGATTAACAAGTATATTTAATTATAACAGTATCTTTACATTAGTTGGAGTTTGCACACAAGTCTGCACAATGTTCATGCAATGGTACTTCAGCACTTGTCCCACACAACGGTAATACAAACGAGAGTCACAAAGCAGCACAAAGAATTATGTCTGGAGGTCTGTCAGATGTGTCCTAGGAAACCTTGCTCCATCTGTTTAAGACCTTTCACTTCCAGGTTGTACTCTTCCATTTTCCCAACACAACTCAAAATCTAAGTCCAAATTCAAACTCAGAGTGGAGGAGGGCAAAAACATTTTCCCTGTTACTGTAACTGCAAGACACGTTACTGGTGAGTAGAGACTGCATCTCCACTTCCTATTCCATAAAGCAGAGTCAACAATTCACAGAATCATAGAATCACAGAATTGATCAGGTTGGAAAAGATCTTAAAGATCATCAAGTCCAACCACAGCCTAACCATACTACCCTAACTCTAACAATCCTTTGCTAAATCACACAACCCTCCACTAAATTTGGTTTTCAAATGCTGACCTTCCAAAAATCAGTGGAATTATGTCAAACACAGATGAAAATATAGCTTGTATGGACTTCAAAACAATGCTGAGCCATCCACTGAAGCTGAAGAAATGTAAGAGAAATAATTTTCACAGCTACAAAGCTGTGCAAATGTGGATGTCTCTGGACTACACAGTAGTGATACAGAATGACGTAGAATGGATTTACGGTAGAGATTGCTTGCACTATCTGTGGATTCAGTCTATCGATAATATACATGAATATACTGAATATTCATAGACACAGTTTGTAGGAACTAATACTGAAACCACATTTTTATCTCTTTTAGATGATATGAGAAAAACTCAGCACTTAGAATATTATGTACAATTCCCTTCTTCGATGCTAAGAAGACAAACATAATGATAATATGATATACATAGTGGAATCCAGCTATCTACATAATGGATATGCTGTCATTTTGGATGCCTTCTAGCATTCCACTTTACCTCCAGATGCTCAGTCAGAAGCTTAGAATATTCTGCTAGTTTACAACGTACCTGACACTGCTTTGCAAGAATCTCTATTTCTCCAGGCCAGCTCAGGTGGTGTTAGCCATTTCTATGTAGGCAAACAAACCCTTTCCTAAAACTCACTCCTTTGGTATTAATACTGCAGCTAAATAGGTTTAAAGATACTGCAGTGACTATATGGGAAAATTGCATTAGTTGACCTTATGAACTCTGAAATTATTTAACCGGGTAGACAAAGTTTCATTTTAACCGAAATGTAACTGCTGTCACAAAAGAACACAGATCATATTATAGTGAACTAAAACCTGCAGTACAATGAACAATCACAGTTCTCCCACTTTTCCAAGTTCATTCTGGTATCTGTAAGGATGGTCTGGAATATGCAAACAAACATGCAGTTTTACCCTTACATTTAAATATATGAATTTATTTGCATTACAAATTACAAGAATTCTAAGAGTTTTAGGTAGTCATTAAACATATTAATTCTTGCAGAAACAACTGGCAATAGTTTCAGTTTCTCTTTATCAGTATGATCACCTGAACCCCTTTCTCCAAGCTACACTTAATGGTTGATCTCTGGTAGATAGTATGTGCTGTGGAGGAAACAGAAGATAAAGTAATGCAACATTTCTGGTTTTTTGATTATATGTAACAGCAACTGGACTAGGAGGACAGAAATCGCCAAGAGCCCATCGTGGTCAGCACCTTGCTTCTGGCAATAGCCACACATGGGCTCTCAAAGAAGTACTGGATTGTGTGGTACATCTTCATCTGCCACAAATTAAAAGCCTAGCCAAAAACTGCATCTGATCGTCATTTAAGATAGTTACTAGTGTGCTTCCATGAAATTCTCATTAGCTGTCATAATTCTTTCCAGCTTCTTTTTATTGTATCCTAGTTTTTTCCTGCTGAGCTTGGGACTTCGTCACGTATACAATTCTGTGCTTAATATTATATGCATACTCATGCCTAGATGGGATGGATATGGTACCCTAGTAAGAATTAATCAGTAATTACCAAATTAATTATCTAATGGGCAAACACTCCCCTTGCATATCCTACTATGGTTAGTGGAGCACATCTGTAAATAACCAAAAAATAAAGTTCTGATTCCCTGTTTTGAAGAAATGAAGCAAGAAGTGTGGTTCTGTTAAATGTTATCTTTCAGTACCTGTAACAAACATTCTTTTAACATTTCCTTCTAAATGAACACACACATATTCATAATCTTATTCTTGCTGCTTCAGTTTTAATTCTAACTCATAATAAACAGTGAAAAAGGCACCAAATCTCCTGAGCTTCCATCTTTCACACTTTCTTCAACCAACAATATAATCTAAAACTTGTTTGTAATCCCACAGATGAAATCTTATAAGTTCACTCAGGACTGATCTAATGACTTCTGCCAATCCCCCCCAAAATCTTTCCAAAGATAGGAAGATACAACATTTCACTTTAAACAAGCAACACAGACATACGGAGACCTTTCACCAATAGCTATTTTGTTTGTAAACAACAGCTTGTAAGCAACCTCCAACTACTGAAGTCACAGTGTAAGGCACTGCTTCCTGCAAACATCAGAAAGTTGCTTTCTTGGATGCTCACACTCAAAATTAATCATCTTACTAAAAATAGTTGCTTATCTGGAACAACACCAAACTGCATTTTTATACATATTTTTACTGGTTGTAGTAAAACATGGAAAACGAGTAAAATGAACCACCTTAAACTTATCTGAAATCCTAAATCTGCTGCTGTTTATCAGTTAGCCCATATGATACAAAAGATAGAGCACGTGAATTACAGACACAATATTCTGAGGATTAGTTTGTTAAACCAACTCGGCTGAAGAGCTTAGCCATAAATTCTCCTGGTTGTACATTTACTGCACATTTTGATATCTGATATCATTAAAACAAATAGCATCAGGAATGCAGCAGAAAGGAGACAAAGATTTCAACTTCCTTGGGCAAGTATAGGTGCAGTACCACCCAAACAAATGCAATTTATGTATTTGCCTGATAGCAATGTATTGTTGAACTACACCTTCTTTTGAGAGTGAGGAGTTCTGTACAATCAAACTCCTTACAGTTAGCAAATCAATAAAAAATTATGTAGTCTCAAAATGTCTCAGGTGCAGTACTGACTTTCAGTACTAAAGCTGATGTTTTTTTCAGTTTTTTTTTTTGTTTGTTTGTTTGTTTGGAATAGAAATTCTCATATTCATTTATTTAAAATTCAAGAAGAGAGTAAAATATGCTTTT